TTTGTGATACCATCGCGTTATCCCTGCTTTCTTTTGATTGTAAGAAATTGCAAAAAATTTTTTTGTAGACTAGTCCCGATTCATAGCTTGTACACTTACTGCTACTTAATAATTATTGTAATTACATACCTTTTTTTGTGGTTTGAGTTCAACCTACTTCTCCTTTTCTGCTTGCTTGAAGTAAAGTATCTATAAACAAAAAGAAAATAGTCAAAGATATTTTCAGTTTGCTTAACCACATTATCACGTATTATAGCTAGTACATACTTCTTTATTATGCCTAATTGAAAGAAATAGAAGAGAGTAAATAGTATTGACAATAGCAGAAATTGAGAAGCTAAAATTAGTACAATAACTAACTATAAGGCTAGTGACCAGTCCAATTTAATAATTGAAATAACTTTGTTGTTCTATACTATTCAAAACAAAAGTCTGTTTATTCTAACTTAACTTAAACTAATTTGCCAACATATAAGTTACTACAACCGGAAACACTTCCATCCTATTATTAACTAGGTATTCATTCACTAATAAAAAAAATATTAACTGGTTATTTCCTTTTTATACGTATAATATAACGTTAAGGTAAGTTTGACCCCCCTTTAGTAATATAACTAGAGTTTTAACACTCCCTATTTTTTTGTACCAATATTTTTACGATAATTATTGTAATTGTACGTCCTCATCTCATTCATGATATGTAATGTAGAATTAAGTAGATAAAAATCTAAGCAGTAATTGTAAACTACCGTATGTACGAAAAATAGTCAAAAATGCACTAATACGTTAATAGAAGTATTATTGTTATTATTACATTTAAGTACCTAATTATTACGTAGCTGTAAAAAATGCTTTCATTATGTACTGTAGCACAAAGGCAAGCTTGTAGGTAAGTAACAAAACCAATAAAAAAACAATTACACAAATTATGTATTTTACGTAAAAACGCGCTCTGCTACTAAAGCACTGTAGAACGCTTTTTGAAAATAAAATATAAATATTATGAACAAAGTGAATATATAAGAACGGTTTTTTTATCATTTGTTGGATCAAATTTTTTCAGAAAACGGGCGAAGACGTGATAGAAATAGATTTAAAAGAAATATATCCCGTCAGAACTTCAAAATCTGCTAAAATTATGGGTAGGAGTATATCAGAAGAATTTTCGGACTTGTCCCTACCAACTTCCCGTTCAACCCGGACTCTTACACGTACAAGTTCATTAAGAAGGTCATTAAAAAAGAATAAAGATACTCCCAGACCACCATGGAGATTTTAATAAAAATAAGTTTCTCATTCAAACTATGAGTGACAATTATTTCCTACATTTTGGTATGACAAGGAAAATTAATACATTTTGCTATGGAGTTGAAGAAGAGGGATGTTAATTGGTGATTTATTATAATCACCTGAAAGTACCTAAATACTTATAAAAATTTATTGCTAGGGACATTAGTATAGTTATGTTAACTGTTAGTTGAGGAAAATTTATAATAGAATAGGATTTTTTACACACTTTTACATAGGTAATATAAAATGCACAAAAGAATACTTATATGCATCTCTAATGCAAAGTAAAACGTTTTAACTTACATTCTTAGAGTCACACATTTGTAGAAAATCAAATTAAGTTGGTCAAATAAGCCTGAATTTCAAACATTAATTATTTATTTCAAAATGTTAATTTGAACTTCAGTGAGCGGGAAAACTTTGAAATATTTAATAGAAAATCTAACTTAAGTTAGGCAATCCACATGTAATATTTAATAAAAAGCTAACTTAAGTTAGGCAATCCGCATATAATATTGAATACAAAGCTGACTTAAGTTAGGCAACCCACATATAATATTTAATGAAAAGCTAACTTAAGTTAGGCAACCCACATATAATATTTAATGAAAAGCTAACTTAAGTTAGGCAATCCACATGCATACTGCTTTTTGACGGTAAAAAATTTAAATATTTTTCTGAAAACGATACCTTACGTTAGGCAACCCAATTATCAGTTCTTTTTTCATTTTTAAATACATTTTCCTCAAAAGTGCATTAATTAAACAATTAAGCCTACGATTAAGCACCAAAGCACTAAAAACACTTAAATGAAAAGGCGAAGTTTAACAAAGGGACCCAGACGATAATTCTTTAACATATAGTTTCTAAATTAAATATTTACTGTTGGTTTTCCAATGAAAAGTTTTTTTAACTACTTTTATTGAAAATAATTAAAATTTGTTGATTTTTT